TGATACGTGTCTTTTACCGTATCAATACGCGTATCGCACATCTCCATATGGAGGTTAGAGAAAAATGTATAACACGTGTATTCGATTTTATATGACAACAGGCGTGACACCACATCGTACTACGTTCTATGTAGCATGACGTAAAAAGAAAGGTGTAACGTTGCGCGTAATGGCGATAGCAATAACGGAAACAACCAAATCAAATTTGACCAGAAATTCACTCTCCTATTGTGCAGCCACGGGAATGGTACACCTTTCTTTTTACATTATGTTACATAGTACGATACATGTTTTATATCATTTTCTGCAATAAGCCATTATCTAAGCTACTCTAAGTCTTAAGCCGTAAAAATTAGAATTGACCAATCATAGTCAATTATTCCTCTCACATTCGACTGTGACTGGTCAATTTCTTACGGCTTAAGACTTAAAGATTAAATAACGATTTACTGTGGGATCTCTGTAATTAATATAAGATTTCTACAATAAGCCATTATTTAAGGGAGACCGGGGATAGTTGATACATGGGGCATGTTGTTATACTTAAAATTGCTGCAAAACGACAAACGATAATATTACATAGTAAAAAATATAGTATTTCCGTAAAAACATTGCGGTCATGCTGGAATAAGTTATTTCAGATTGAATAGTATATTTTCAGAAATAGAAAATGTTTTCGGTTTTTCATAGCTAAAAGTAAAATAAATCAGATATATAAAATGTTATATTTATCAATTCACCATATCATAATTTCAACTATTTCTATGGAATTCTTATTTTATAAACACATTTTACAGTTATATTAACGTCTTAACATATATTTTTTGCATAAGTAATAATACTAATAATTGAAATACACAAATATGACACCCTGGGACTAGTTGTGACGGGGTGTGTCGTTACAGGTGTTTGCTTCTCCGTCGTCACACCTAACCTCAACGTAACCTGTTGTAATAGCAGTAACCAAATGGTAATCTTATGTAAATTTATATTTTTATTTCTATGATATATGTAAGAAAAAGAGAAATCTGTTTAAGTATATCATAAACGTTATTAATGTTACATATCTATACATAAATATCGTTCTAAATTATTAATGAAGTATAGATATATATATAATACATATATATTTCTTTTTATTTCATTTAATTAAATGTGTAATATTTTGAATATTCTGGATATGTAACAAGTGACCTCAGTAACTGTAACATCCAACCCCGCATATAGGGTCAGTTGATACAAGGTGCATGATCTTATATTTTTTATTAATACTAGAAAGTTAATCATATTATTAAATCATAAAAATAATTTTTGTGTAGTATAAGCACGTGGCTATTGTAAAATGACCTTACGGTGTAAATTCTATTTATTAGTTACGTGCAAAAAATTCCTAAAAAAGACTATCAACTGTCCCCGATCTCCCCTAAACTTTAAGTCTTAAATCATAAAAAATTGACCAATCACAGTCGAACGTGAGAAGAATAATCGATTATGTTCGGTCAATTTCTTACGGCTCAAGACTTAAAGTTTAGATAACGACTCATTGTATTATAGTAAAGCCCATAAGAGTGGGAGCACAGAGTCTTGCGTAATCCATAATACATAAGAAAATGAAACAATCAGAGTCCCCTCTTTCTCTCTCTCTCTCTCTCTCTCTCTCTCTCTCTCTTCATTTCCTTCCTTCCTATGAAATAACAGACTGATTAGATTTTCTTATGCATTATGTGTTATGCAAGTGTTGTACTTCTGTCCAAAGGAAGAATTAACGCACGTGGCTCCCATTTTCAGTACATAGCGTGCGTAATAACCGTTTTTCCAATGCGTTGGCGTAATAACCGTTTTTCCAATGCGTTGGCGTTAGTTAGATTTGCACGCGTATGGTTTGTCTCCTACGCGAGTGACGACAGTGACATCACATTTCGACGTCATAACGCCTCCTTCTGGCCGTATTGATTCTTGTAGTGACGTCACTTTCCGTCGCTTTCGTCGCTAAATATTTTTTTCAATTGCGCATCTATCCCACGACTGAAAAAGAATCATATCGTTATCGGATTAAAGATTTTACAATTACATAAGTACAGTTAATTGCAAGTGGTTATTGTTGAAAAATTGACCAATCACAGTCGTCTGTTTTACCGATTCAGTAGGATTTATACATATATGATTTACATGTCATTGACACACACTACTACATCAATATCGCACGCACACATACGTGCACACACTACAAATTTTCTAACTAACTAATCTTTTATATCGTAAGTATCTAAACTTCATTCTAAAGATCCAGCTTTACCGTTTATAGGCATTTATGCTTAAATTCTAAGCAGAATCGTAAGGCTCGTAACATATTCCTATAAGACTTGTACGAATTTTTAAGTGCTTACCTTTATACAATATTTTTACAGATAGCTTTTTATTAGCCATAAAATTTACGAGAAATCGTAGATATTTACGAATAATCGTACGTCTTACGATACATACGCATAAAATTAGAATACTAGTCATAAGTTCTTATATATACAAGTTTTACGAGAACACGTTACGAGTCTTACGATTCTGCTTAGAATTGACTTATTAATTTCTAGTATTGATTGTGTTCTCACGTATGCGATCTAAAATAAAATTCTTATTGTAAGTATCTAAGCTTCATTCTAAAAACTCAACATCATTTATTCATGTGATCTCTAGTTCAAACCGAAATTGTTTTATACGTACAAAGTATAAAGCTTATATATAAAGTAAATATTGTTACGAGAAACCGGTAAGACTATAATTTTCCAATCTTTTTTCATATTTAGCTTTTTCATTATGTATTTTAAAATTGACCGGTTTAGACTACATTACTATTTATACTTTAATTGTGAAAAAGGATTTTTAAATCTGTAAAGGTATTTACAAAAATACCTATTTGAAAAATAATCGGTAAAACACACAGATGATTTTAGAATCCTCTTAACGCGTTGAAAGCTGTCAGTTATTTCTGTTGTGTCTCAGAAAACATTTCATGGCCGAAGGACACGTGGTTTCGAGCGGTACCAGGATGTTATCTCGCGCTATGTTATAGATCGATCACGATGTTGACAATGTCAACGCGTGTCGAGGGAACTCGTTCAATTCCGTTGAACGCTTCTTCGTACTCTCATCGATCCGTGATTCTTCGAAATTGATCGCATCGAGTTGCATCCGAGTCGACAAGTCGCGCGTGTCCATCGACAATGCGTATACATACATATGTACGCTACTGAAACGACCTAGTAATTTATCCGGCTCGACGAGTTTTGACGTCATACAAGCGATCTTGTTTTCTCTCGCGTAGCGAGAATGACCGTGAAAGTCGTGCGCGCCCACTGATCGGTTGACGGCATTTAGATACGCGCGCGCGTGGCATAAATGAAAAATGAAAAAAAAAAAATGAAAAAACTCGATCACAGATCGGTACCGACTTATCGGGCTTGCGCGTCATGGCGTGGCAAAAAGATCTATGCAATCTTATGCAATCCCATGCAATAACGCGCAACCGTCGCGTCGGACGATTCCTAATCTATTTCGCTTTCTCAAGTGACGTTCGCTGTATCGCCATTATAATCGCTTGATTATTAACCGTTAATTGACACGGCGATTACAGAAGTGACATCGTATTGATTGATTAAAGATTTATTTGCATTCCTCTTCTTATTAAATTACCGACTTAAAAATCTGCGATACTTACATGCCATTTGGCACGCGATCATCGATCAGTTTCGAAGTCGATTCATTAGGCGACGCCAGCAGCAGAAACGCCGCGAGACCTTCGAAGGAAATCGGATCGAGCGGTATTTCGACGATAGTATAATTCTTGAACGAAATGATATCGGCGATGCAAAAGCACATTGATTAGAAAAATGTTCTGGTTGTATCAACAAGAAATACGAACAAAACGAATTTTGATTATATGAATTAGAATCTGGATGTCGATTATGTATACTAAGAGGGAAAAAATATGGTTGTAATTACTTACCATAATTTAAAGTAATTTTTTTGCAACTATTATATATTTATAGTTGTTCCAACCACGCAGATATAGTCAATTGTGCTATTAATAATAGTCATACACTGCTTGAAAATCTTTAGTTTTTTAACATGTTTTTTTGTTATTAAGTTATTATCATCACATAATTAGTAAATGAATTTAAGAAAATAATTATATTCACTGTAATTACGATTGCAATTACTATAAATAAAAATGTTTCATTTATTATATTTTTATATTTTACTGTATTAATATTTGAAATCATCATAATTTATAGCACAATTTTCTCATATTTGAGAGAATTATCATATATGGTTATTATTAACATTATTATCATTAGCATTATAGCAGTAACATAAAAATGGAGCTTCTAATCATAAATTATTTTATGCCATTATGATCACAAATACTTTTCTCTCAGTGTATCTTGAAATAAGGTGAAAATTACAATGAACAAATTTATTAGAATATTCATAATTTCATTGATCAACATCTAGAATTTGCTCACTTTTTAAATGTAATTTTTATTACATTTTAAGATACACAATTAACTCTCTGGTTATCGTAATTGGAATTTCTGGTTATCTCGATTGGAATGTTTGACAGATTTAAGTGTATGATTTGTACCTATCTAATTAAATCTGCCTGAATTCCAATTAACGTAACAAGACTTTTTCCAGTGTACGAAAGGGACTTGGAAACGCTACGATAATATACAACGTGTAATTTCAACGCGACCTGGGTTTTCACCGGGCAACCAACCATACGCTGCAAAAGGCAAATTGTTACTGTTGTTAAAACGGGCGACAGAGTCGAGCGATATAGCGACGTGGAATGCATATCGTACTATACATATATATGCGTGCATGCATGCGTGCGTGCATGCGTGCGTGCGTGCGTGGAGGGGGATCAGATGACGAGTGCTCGCTCGATGAAGAGAAGGGTGGAAGCTGTCTCGACGCCGTGCTATTTTGATCGCCACGCTGTGGCTGGCCCAGATTCGACGCGACCGTCACGACGAAACGAGTGTACGATAATATCAGCCGCACTCTCGCTGGGCCCCACGGCAGTCACGACTTCGCCCGTTACTCCGATTTCGATCTCGCCATTCGTCTCGCTCGAAAAGTTGCTGAAATCGAAGTCGCCGCTGTACGGTGGGAAGAATCGAATCGAATTCTTCCCGTCAAGGATGTAAATTTTTCACCGAAACGCGATCGCGCGTATCCAAGTTCGTTAACATATGATAATCAACGCGCCAATATAATTCGCGTTTTACAAAATTTGGAACGCGTCGGAAGATCAAACTTTTGTTTGTCCTTTGACGGTATGGACGATACGGAGGAATACGAAGAATATTTTACGTCTCGAGTCGTAAATTTGGAATGGCTTCGCGAAAGTGCACGCGTGCGCGACATTAAGATGTGACTTTTTGGTGCACGGTGTTGGTGATTTCGTCACGTTGTAACAATCGTTCTGACCGCGTGACAATACGCCAATTGTTTTATTATCGTTAGAGCTTAATTATCTCGGAACACTTCCGTGACCTCGGACTTGCAAACTTCTTATCAAATGACCGTAAGGTAAAGTTCTTTCTCTCTCTCTCTCTCTCTCTCTCTCTCTCTCTCTTTCTTTCTTTCTCTCTCTTTCTCGACGAGTCACTTTGTGACGTCCGACTGCTTTTATAAACCGATAAACGGGATGATCCGAATAATCCTAAAATAAATACCATTAAATACACTTTTTTTCATCGCTTGTTTATACGTTTTGAAAATTCAATACTTGTTATTTTCTTTTTTTCTATCTTTTCACTATATAAATTTTAAAGATGTTTTGTCTGTACAATAAAAGTATTATTGTATAATACAATAAAATACAGTAACAATAAACATTAATCAAATAATCAGCCAAAAATAGTTAATACCGTTCAAAAAATTTTATTCAAATAATTGTGTGTTTAAATTTTACATAAATATTCAAATAATATGTAAAATTGACAATCTGTAAAATTTTTGTTAAGTTCTTAATCTTTCAAAAATAAATACTAAACACCCTTAAATAAATCAAACGTGTTTGCTGACATATTCTTTTACGCAGAGATACTACTTTCTCAATTGCGAAAGGATTTTATTAATTGAACGGTCAAGAAACATTTTATTTCCGATTGATGCAAATTTTTTTTTTTCGGAGAAACCAAAAGCGAGGCTATTATCGGTACTTGAAAGTTCGCGAGTATCAAATGATAAACGCGACATAACACGACTGTCGAAAGTGACAATACGTTAATAGACTGAAGGCTGAATCGCCGAGTTTTCGCATGTTTTTGAAATAAAAATATTGATTTCATACGTTAAACGGCTAAATTGACACTTACATGCCCCGTATTCTCTTTTTATTGATATTTTCGAAATAAATCTGGAGACACGGTAGTGTCTCGCTAAGACAAGTATAGATACACGGTAAATGTAACGCTGCTTTACTCGAATGAAAATTGGCACGTTAATAACAGGTCGCACGACATAGCTATTGGACGAAAGACAAGCATTTTTATAACATTGATGTCGATTTTTATAGAAGATTTTCCAATCCCTCCGGCTGTAATGTAATAATAATACATGAAGAGAAAAAATATCTTGATACAAAAAAAAAGCTATTAGGATTTATTGAATAAATAATTTTCTTATGTTAAGTAAAATTTTTTTTTATTGAAAAAAGATCTTGATGTTAAAAAAATTGTATTTAATACATCAAGAAAATTATTTATTTATAATTTATAGGTAGATCCTAATATCTTTTTTCAAGTTATTTTTTCTTTCGGTGTAGTAATATAATATAAGAAAATCACAATTCGATGTTATCGCTTCGCAAATACGTACATACGTAGTTTTAAAAATTCTTTTTGTGCATCGATATTCGCTTTTGGTAAACTCATTCGTTTGTACGATGCTTTTTCGATAGTATCTGGTACAAACGCGATAATCAAATCGCGTCAATCTAATAATTGACTTTCGTAGAGACGCCTCATGAATTTTCATTTTCTTCGCAACAAAGAGAAATAACGATGTCGTGTTATAAATTCGTTGATATCGTTGGCTACAATTATGCAACGTGTTGCAGTGTTACAAGAGCACTATTCTTTCGAGACTTGAATTAATATTCGCTCGATTCTAAATTCTTTAGAATGAAATCTCACTCTAAAGAGTGAAAATTTAACCAGTCTTGAAAGAGTCTTATATTTTCAATCTTTAAAAGTCATATTTCATTCTTCAGAATAAAACTCACTTTAAAAGTTTTAGAGAGTAGGTATTCCGCGCGCACACATATCTTTTTATTATCGCGTATCTTTCCGACGTGTCATTTTAATTATTGTATTTTAATTATTTGTGATATTTACAAAAATTTACGTCATAAAATTGTCTCGTGTTTAGTAGAAGGTAGAAACGCATCAGAAATAAAAATTTTCCTTTGATAGAAACGTTAGAGTTTAGTTAAATAGTTAGAGACATCAAGATAAATTCTTAAGTCTCTCAATCGGGAATATATCCTGATTCAGTCCACATTTCTTGTCTCCGTCTCGTACGTACGAAGTATACCCTATATTGTTCATTTGCTACAACAATGACATAATTCAAAAATATCATTTTGGAATTGTTTGGAAAAAAGAACAGAAATAAAAAAATAAAGAACATACTTTTATTCCTCCACATCACAGTTATATTACATAAAAATTGCATTTTTAAATATTATTTAAAATAAAAATTTCAAAACATTTAAACTTATTTTCTGGAAAATTTTGTTTTTTTAGTTATGTCGTTGTTGTAGCAAGCGAGCAATATTGTAGATATTCATATCTACACCTATATATATATATATATCAGATAGGATTGCGAATGTCGCACTTTCTTAGACGTTCAAGGAGATAATATTAAAGGATAAAAATATTCAATGTATAAATACTCAACGTATTTATTTTCTCCCACGAAGACTTGCATTATTCTATCGATAGAGGTGGAACGAGTGATTTTTGTCGCCTCGTTCTTCACACGTCGCATCGGTTTGCAGTCTGTCCGACATGATTCGCGACGTAACTGCACGCAAATAGAATTTTGTTTACTATCACGAGACCTAACGCGTCGTCAATCTTGCGACAGTCTTTGACGATTTTGATCTCTGACGAATACAAGCATAAATTGATTTCGATTGCGTCATTTCTTTATACAAAACATTCTTTCGGTTAAGTTGCAGCGATCTTGCATTTGTAAACTCTTGCAAACTCTAGTATAATGTTACAAAGACACGAGATGCAAAATTTTAACGAAATTCAAATTTTGGATTACTAGACAACAGTTATTTTCAATCCCCTTTTTTTGGAAATCATGAAGTATCATAAAGAGAAAAATATCAGATTCAGTTTAATTTTAAAAATATTTTACTATATCTTTTACTATCGATACTCTCTAAAACTTGTAGAGTGAATCTCATTCCGAAGAGTGAAATCTCACTCTTGTGCCAGTTTCTACTAAGTAGTTTAATTTTAATCTCAGTTCAACTAATTCTTTATCTTTATCTAGTTCTAAGAATGAGAAAAAGATGAAGAGCAAGTTGAATCGAGATTAAAGTTTATCTACATTGGTAGAAACTGACATTGAAAATTGAATGACTCTTTTAAAACTGGTTCAATTTTCACTCTTTAGAGTAATTGCACTCGAAAGAATTTAGAGAGTAATACTAATCTTGTGTACAAGTGAACTGATTGATTTGTTTTCTTAACGCGTACATCGCCATCATGGCGACATCGCATGTTCATACAACACGATGACAATCGCGCACTGTTTATAAAAACACCATTAAGGATGTAAGTCTTTCGCCTCGGATTCGACTCGGAATTCTGTCGACAGTATCTCGATACCTTTAAATTTTTTTGACGAATCGTACAAAGCACAGGCATTCTTTTTGTCAATAAAATACATACATACATTGCTACGGATTCTTACATTATTTTTATTAAATATACTTTTGCCGCAGTTTCTTTATTCTTTGTTATACTTCTGTCCTTTTATATAGAGAATTATATGCTCAAATAAAATATTAATTAATTTGTCTGAGCGAATGTGTGTACATGTTTACTCTCTAAAACTTTTAGAGTGAATCTCACTTTGAACAGTGAAATTTCACTTTTAAAGATTAAAAATTAAGCCTTTTTTTCTGAAGAACTGGCTTAATTTTCACTTTTTAGAGTAAAAATTCTAAAAAATAAAAATAAACAATCAGCTCAAGGCTAATAAGAGTCAAGGCTGATGAAGGTGCCAACGATTAAATTACAAACCATTGATTACTTTCTATTGTATGAAATCTTCTTTATTTTTGAACGTTTTGGCTCTCTTTAGAGTCTTTTTCAATAAAAATTCTAAGCTAAGAATTTGAAGAGTAGTTTTGATCTTTTCTTAACAATTTACTGAGATTTGAAAATGAGATTCATAGGGGAACGTTCGTTTAAAGGAATTCTTGGAAGAGTGCAAAGTTGATATATCATCTTCATAAAGTGTAAATTGAGTTTCCACATAGTCTAACAAGTTCGTATGATTTACGCGCATCTAACCTAAGTCTAGCCTGATTCGAGTAATTTTATGCCTTGAGATTTTTTATAACTATAAATATCCATCAGTATTATATACAGTCCCTTTATAACCTTCGCATGTCGTCAAGATAGACCAACTTTTTATTAATCGTGTCTGGTTCCATCTCGATAATTTCATTACCAAATGCTGTCATGTACGGTGCGTATACTGAAAAAAAGTCTGATAATAGCTATCAAATATTGAGTGAAATAATTTCAATCGCAAAAAATAATTTTATTTTTCTAAATATTTAATAAATACTACTACATATGATAATCTGCAAACATTTGATTGAAATTATTTCGCTCAACATTTGATAATTATTAGCAGATTCTTTCTTCAGTAGATTTTTGAGCAACTTTTTCGAAATCGAAATCGGAAATTTCCGAGTAGTCATACCGAGTAGCCGAGTATACATGCATGTATACATATATATATATATATATATATTTTCAATGGCATCATGTTAAAGAAATAGAATACAGTCGAAGCGGTCGGACGCGCGACGCCATCGTTGATGGATTTGGCCTTGGCGGCGTTTCACGAAGCGTATATAGCTCTCGCTCTCGAGCTTCTCTTCACCTGCCAATTTCGGTTATTTTGATGCATACTGGTCTGAATGTCGGTCGGTCATACTCTTTCCAGTCAATCAGTGACGCTTGGTAACTGTCGTACATCGCATATTGATGGCAGCGTTACGCAAAAGGGAGCTTTCGCAAATCGGTCGCGACGAAAGATCGAGAGGTCAACTACGCGCGTTGTCGAATGCGACAGCGCGCAAGCTTGGCATAGAACAACTAGAAACTGCGACCTATAATGTTACCGTGTATAACATTAGCATTCTCTATTTAAAAATGATCTCAAAACGGTCCTTCCGCAACCTATGCACCCGCACGAATGATATTTCAATCATTCATTGGGCAATTTAATGCTCAATTTCGCCTTGTAATCAAGACGAAATTGCTCAAGAAAGAAATAACATTATATCATTTTGATGAATTTCTTATCGTATTAATACTATCGAGATACACGGAGAAAAGTTGAGTAATTTTTATCTTACTAATAAAAATATTCTAGTTACTTTCGCCAAACTTATGATAAACTTTACTTGCCTGAAAATAAAAATATTGAATATTGAAATATTGAATACTTATAAAGTAAGAAGTACATTACAATTACAGTAAATTTATTCAATGATTGTATACAGTAAAGTAAATCATCCCATTCTCAAGACTGTAAGTACGAGCACGAGCAACTCTTAAAATTTATTTTACAGAATGTAAAAGTACCTTATAGTGTAGCTACACGATGATCGCTTATTTGCCAGAAAAGTAAAATAAATTTTTAACATAAGAAGGCATCTATTCCTGTATTATCGATCTGCCAATTCCATAAAATTTGCTAGAATTCCAGCGCATATTACTTTACATTTTTCTCCGTGTAGAAAGAACGAAGAGACGAAATACTTAGCATGTGGCTTCTTACACGCATGGAGCAACACGCTCAAGAATTGGCATCAAGCGTTACTAGCGCGTGACCGCTGTGCGAAAGTTCGCTATTGTTATGTGGAAGTAGCGATAAAAATAGCGCGCGATGAAAATGATTGCTTTAAAATTATCATTTTATTCCGTAATCAAGAAACACGTGGTCATCTTTAACGCTGTTGTTCTCTTTGTTGCAGTTTCCTGGTGAGTGCATCCTCACATACATGGAGTTTCAGTTGGATAGCGCAGAATACTGCCAGGCTCAACACAAATAGAGAGACACGCCCATACTCCCTGACAATTATTAGACATCGTTAAAGTAAAGAGAGGAAGGCTAGAAACACCTTGGAGAAAGGAAGAAAGATATTAAAGTAGAGAATTATCATCGGGGAAGCCAGAAAAATCATCAACTAGTCATCACGCAAGACATAGAAGAATTTAATAGAAATTATTAATTTACCTTAGTAGATGCAAGCATCGTAGATACTGAGCGCACCTGTCACAGGAGCACCCAGTGCCAAATAGGTAAGAGCAGCACCTCCAAGAAAAAAAGCTGTGAAAAAGCTTTTCCTCCATCCTAATAATTTAAATTATACTCATCATCTACAATTATATTGATTTCAGGTAATCTTCCGTGAATTATAGTCAAAAAGTCTCAAGTGGGAAGAATAAAGCGCATATCAACACCGCCTAATGTAACGTAGCCCTTACTTTTTCGGCGAAGTTCGCATCCCGAAGATCCTTTCTAAATTCTACATGTAAACCCACGGTTCTGTCCTCTGTAAAAAAATAATATATTCTATTAGTTAAATGAAAAACAACTTTATAAGACTGACATTTAATGGGCTAAGTTGTCAAATCCAGCCTTTGTCGCTTCGTATAGTGTGGCACACGTACGAGATCTTTTAAGAGTTAAAAACAATAAGAGGGGATAGATTTATAACCATCTTTGTGGTTAAGAAGGAAATGAGCAACATGAGGGTGAAGGATATCAGACCGGCGCCCGCCGAGATTGAATACAAAAACATGAAGTTCCTCATTACTGATCGGCCCAATGATCAAACCATCCATACCTTTATTCAAGTTAGTATACGAACGAAATTGTCCGCGAGACATTGCTTCAAATCTTTATTTTTATTCCTATCTACTATAAATTGCATTAAATTTCTTTAATAGGAACTGAAAAAGCACAATGTAAAAGAGGTGGTAAGAGTCTGCGAACCAACGTACAAAGTAGAGGAACTGAAATCAGAAGGGATCAATGTGATAGATTTGGTATTCGATGACGGTACATTTCCACCAAACGAGGTAAAATTTTTATCTTCAGTCTATTTTTATTGAGATAAAAGTAGGAAAACTCGAATAAAAATAAATCGTTTGTATATCTTCCATTATTCATATAAATCTTCTAGGTGGTGGATGAATGGTTCGAGTTGCTAAAAAACCGATTCCGAGAATCACCTGACGCATGTGTGGCGGTGCATTGTGTCGCGGGTCTTGGTAGAGCACCGGTCTTGGTTGCGTTAGCTCTCATTGAACTTGGGCTCAAGTTCGAAGATGCTGTTGCCCTTATCAGAGAGTAAGTCATCTTATATACTCCGTAATCTTTAATTATTTAAACAGTGGAATGCATTACTATGAAATGCAAAACAGAAATTATGATTTTTTTCTCTCTTTGTTCTAGAAAAAGACGAGGCGCCATAAACGCGAAGCAGTTAACTTTTCTTGAAAAGTATCGTCCTAAATCTCGATTGAAGCTCAAGAATGGACAAAAAAATTCCTGCAAATTCCTGCTGCATTCAATAGAGCAAAGAATACTTTAGAAAAGAAGAAAATGGGAAAAAAGTCACACTAATTCATACTGATTGGTATAAATGTGTAGAATTTTGCGCCTGACAACAAGTGGCATATTGTAGCAAATCTGTTCTGAATGGTCTATCACTGGAAATGCAACGTTGGTTGATAACTATCAATCAATTTTGAGGCATATTTTGCATTACCCAATTTTATATTTCGAGATGAGCCATTATATAACGCAGAAGAATACGATTCAAAATCGTTGCTATTTCCGTTTATGAAGATAAATTATATGTTATTTTTGATACTTGATCAATATTGACCATTGAAGAACAAAAGTTAAATCTTGAAATGGTAATAATTATTTTTAAAAACCAATTAACTATTGCCATTTAGCCTTACTTATTTGTAAATTGTGACGTTCGTACATACATGTACAAAACTCGTACATTATGTGACATATGCTTATCTTTCTCTTGAGAGACCAAAATTTTTTATGAACACTTTGTAATCAACAAAAAGAGAATATGATTTTTTTAATTAGAAAAGTGAAAAATGTAGGAAAATGAATATAATTGTAATGAATGTGATACATTCATATATTATCGATTTGTTATTTCATTGAGTAAATTGTGTTACGTTCGTGATACACACACATATTCACACGCATACACACAAATAGAAACAAAGAATTTATAATTTGCAAATATAATCTCTAGAAAATGCTACACATTTGATTGCAAACTAAATTTCAAGATGTGTAAAAGTATCCGAATTGGAATTAATTTACATATAATTAATATTTACGTCTAATTATATTTCTTTTTAAATAAAATATGTCAAAGCAATTTGCTTTGAACGTCAAATACGATAATACTTTTTAAGAAGATTTTATATATAGATTTTTTACAGCATGCAATCGAAATAAAATGAAAATGCATATATTTATATTCTTTTCAAAGAATGGTTTTCAGGCAGTTTTTTTCGATACAATTTATCTCGATTATAACTTTACAAAATAAGAAATTCTGAAATCAACATCAAAATTATTTCTACAATGAACCAAGACATGATAAAGGAGAATTAATTTTACGCTAAAAAAAAAGTATACATTTGCATGTTAAACACATCACACTTATATAACATGATATTGCAATACATTACCTTCTTTTTTCCTTTTTTTATTACATATATATAGAATTCTATTAATTATAGCCAATATTAATTTTAATTATTAAAATAATTACTGCAACATGCGTTTGGATTATACATTTTGATATTTGATTTGCAATGCTTTAATAGATAAAACATGAATTGCAGAGCATTAAAGCTCTAAAGTATTTCAAATTAAATTTAAGATATTTTTAATTTGAAAAACAAACGCGACAAACACATAACGTTGCATTTCCAATGGCATGCCGAACCGCTGATGGATGTTTTTAACTCTTATTGGACTTGGAATCTGCGTTAACTTGAGTGATGGATAATGAGAAACTAATGTGAAGCAAATCACTCCAGAGCTGTATATCACGTATTACCGTAGCTCAATGACAATTTCATCAAAATCTTTGCATATCTAACTTTTAGTCAAAGTAGATTTTTCAATCTGATACAAGCATATTATGTAAAGTCATCATCGTCTTCTATTTTGGTAAAATTGTCAATGATGCTGTGTACGCCACACTAAACTGTGTTCAAAGGATAGAAAAATTCACTCGTAAAATAATAATGAAATATAATACTTAGAACATTTCACGCGTGTCTGCTGATTTCATGTGAATGTACGTTATTTTGTATTTGTATGCTATCTGCTTCTGATTATCTTATTCAATAATGGGTAACAATGCGTACCGGAAATGGAACTATTGCACAATGGTTGTATGGCAATCAAGTTTGGTTGCTATGTATTACTACATTCAACCAAACAAATTTAATTGCCATTCCCGAGACACCCAAGAGATCCGCGCTGTTGTGTTCCAGAACATGATACCAATGATTACGTATCATTACACGTTTGTTAATCGTGTATTGGCAATTTACCTCCTATACAAGCGGTAACTAAACACGATTGACACAATCGATTAGGAATCGATTACTTAGCTACCAAATAGAAGACAAGAGACAACTTTAATTTACTTTTATGTACGTATTCTTTAACAATAGGGTACATTCACTACAATCGCAGACTCGAATCGAAATTAAAATCTGATACCGCTCCTTTTTTGTAATATTAAAAACTGCAATATTTTTTACCAGAGGATGGGACGAGGGATATTCGGATATATATAAAAGCAAATGATTCAACCTTAGAGGCAAAAGTATCATTACTTTTATTTGTTTAATTTTAGTTCAATTATGGTAATTACAGCAATTTAACATGTTTCTTTAATACAATTTTTTTCTAAAAAAAAATCATGCGATATTCGTGACGAAATAGATATTATTTTAATAGTTACCAGTATAATTTTCATTGTTTTTTTTAATTATTACTCTTGCGCATCGATTCACTTCTTCAAGGTGTAATTAAATTGCTAAATAATTCTTTTTATATCTGTGATATAATTTTCTTAGTATGCATTAAAAAAAGTATAGACTTAGAAGTAGACTGTGGTTATTAAAGCTGTGATGCTAACAGTTGTAGAAAATTATACACTACTGTTTTATTGGAAATTAATATTCAATTACAAAAAAAATATAACATGTAAAAATTGCTCTGCTATGCAATAACAATACATAATCTTATTTATAAACGAGGCATGCAAAGTATGAAATATTTTATTTCTCGAAGAAATGAATCGAATCGCTGAAATATATTGATGTTACACGAAAAACAAATGCAATTGTAATTGAAATTATCTTTTTTAAATAGCTACTTGATGTCGATCTAAATAATACAATAATTTTATGTATTGATCAAGATCTCTTGTGTTTAATCATATGTCTAATGTGAATATTTCAAGAAAGAACAATTTAGATAGCAAAGAAATCCTCTATTTTGAACCGACATAAAATAAGAACAATCACTCCCTACAAATTGATTAAACAAGAAAATAACGAGTTAGCGCAATTTATAAATAAATATTACTGTTTAAAAAATTTCTCAATATAATTTCCTATCTCTATATCATTACACAATTAGTTTTAATTAAATTAAACATTAAATTAAATCGTTTTGTTACATTGTAAACATCAATTATGAAATAAAAAGGAATGGAAGTTGTTTTGTGAAAAAAGAAACGTTTTATAATAATTCTTAATCCTTGATGTATACTGAATATATAAATAAATTTTTTTGGGGTCATTCTTATCCCAAAAAAAATACGAAATATGTATCTTTCATACGTACGATTCTTTACAATATAATAAAATATATTGTAGAAGAAATATATTAGCGAAATGGCATAATATTATATAGACATTTAATATCCCATACAGCACAGAATTTGCAATATCGCTGCAAAATCTCTGCAATATTACTGCAACATGCAATGTTACTGCAATATTGCAGCAATGTTACTGCAACTTTTGTGTAATTTTGTGCTATAGGAGATACAAAGAAACTGTCTATATTTGTATTGTGTATTTTCACTTTCATCAAATTTAATTTTCTGTAACTTATTACAAAAACATATCATCATATTGTGGAGGAGGTAAATGGTCATCATCGGGTCTACGACGATGTGGTCTCATTGGATCCAGCTCAGGTGGACCGAAAGGGTCGAATCTTGCACCAGGTGGTATCGCATTTCTGCAATATTACATTTAAATTGATTCTTAAATTTAAAAATAGATTCTCACACGCATGCACTAGTTTAGTCATATAACATACGGCGGCAATACTCCAGGTATTCCTAAGCCTCCCGGTAAACGTCCAATTTGACGACGTCTCGTGTCAAATGGATCGAATATCATACCACCGCCTTCTCCAAATGGATCAAGATCTCTACGTCCTACGCCCATATATTCAGGTCTAATTAAAAATAATAAAAATTAAATAATCTAAATTAAAATACTAGATCATTTAAGATAGAATAAAATTTACATAGCAACATATAAGTTCGCACATATACATTACATTATTATATATAATAAAATATAATATCGATTTTTCTATAAATGCTACAGTCTAAATTCTTTTTTATTTGAGATGTATAATTAAAAAATCTGAAGTGATATGAAAGATCTTATGTGGACATATTAATTAAATCGATATTGATAAATTACCGATTTATTCCCCGATTAACAGGTATCCTCAATGGAGAATCATCACCTACAGGAACCTCATTCCTTCCGGAGGAACTTCCGGGATTATTTAGTATGGTTGTTTGGGTCCCTGCTTCGTTAGAGCATATCGTACTTACAAAATCTTTTTGTATATTATGTAAAATTGTTTGATAGGATGGTATTACAGTCTCTAAAGGTCCATGTAAAACAGATACAGTTTCCTCGATAGGGAATGAAATGTTAGAAACAGAATTATCTTGGTGTTTCTGTAAGAATATAATATTCAATAAACATTTTATAGAGAAGTAATCGCTTTAATAATTAATTGACTTTGACAATTTGTTGCTGTCACATAATTATTACCATCCAGTTCAATAATAAATCTGTATCTGATTTGACTCCAAGAAGTATATGTAATTTTCCATCTTTTACATAACGTAGTGCATAATTGGGATGTAAATTCCATTTTGTTGGAAGTAATTCGGAACCTTTTTCTGATGCATTAAATGCTGCCTAAAAAATTATAAATTTGAATGTCATTTTAAAAATAATTACAACATATAACGCATTATTTGTACATGTCCGAAATTCTTACTAAACAAATAATAAACGTCTATGATATGTACTCTAATTTAATATATTTGGTCGAAGCTGGATCTTACAATGCTTAAATAATTATTTAAGCATCCAAGATCCAGTTTTGACCGTCATATAAGGCGGCCATATTTTCTTAAAGAAAATACAGGACAAATCTGAAAATTTTAGGGCTTTGTCCCTACATATTTTCAAACCAGTTCGTAATTGTCAAAAATTTGTGCATTATAACATTTTATTGCACAGTATAATTAGAGATAATGCGCAATTTTCTGATAGTTTGAAACTGATTCGACTGTATTGGAACAAACCTTTCATCTGAAATAATAAAAGGTTCGAAATAATAAAAAATGAAAACAACCCTAGTTTGAATAAATTTAATTTAAAAAATTAAAAAATATAATTAACAAAAACAAATTGTATTTATATACATAAAACTGTAAGATATTTTCTGTAAAAATTTGCTCATTGATATAATATTATAGACATTGGAACGCTAGTTAGAAAAGAATTTCCCATAATGTCAAAATAAAGGACAGTACAGGACAATATTGGAAAATAAAGGACAAAATTGAATATTGAAGAAACAAATAAATCTCTCTAAAGGACAACTACCTAAAATAAAGGACGTATGGTCACTGTATAGGCTTTAATTCTTACTTGTTGTGTATTCTATTCACATTAAATGGTTTTAATAAATCGTTTGTTATTAATATATTTGGTAACGCTCTTGAAAAATATGTTTAAACCTAAGTAAATTACATTTGGAACAAATTATAATTATAAAAGTATCTTTTACGAAAACTTTATATAGGTTAGAATTTTTATAATGTCAAACATTACAAAAGATGCTTTTAATGTATAAAAACAATGAAAATATATAAAATTATGTAGTGAGCGATATAGAGAGTGATGAACGGCGTCATAAGATGTTTATCTTGTCATCAGAACTTACATCATCTCCGATGCCAATGCATCTAAATCCAGATTTTGTCAAATACCAGTGCACAAATAAAATTATTACATCTTCCTTTTTGTGAATATCATCGTGATAGAGTTTTTGAAAGAGCTCGAAGCCAAATACGTTATTTATGACATCAGCCATCCTGATGAATTCTTCTTTTTCTTTAGCTCAAGGATTTCAGCTTCCAAAAAGTGGCTCGATATGTAAACGAATAACTTTTTTTGGAGAAAACTTCGAGGAGCCAAAAGTCTTCTCAGTAACCTCAAACGATATTAAACCGATATTAGCTTGCAAGTTCTTCAAGTGTATATACGCCATTTACTATACCATTGGTTGCGTTCAACAGAACGTTTGTTTTGCAACTGTTGGAAGTTTCCTTCGCGCTAATTGGATCATACTTTTAGATCTAGAAGAATGGTCCTATCTCAGCAGACAATCATAAAACGGTTGCAAAACTGTTGAGTCTGCTGAACGCACCCAATGGCTGCGTTCAGCAGAACGTTTGTTTTGCAACTGTTGGAAATTTCCTTCGCGCTAATTGGATCATACTTTTAGATCTAGAAGAATGGTCCTATCTCAGCAGACAATCATAAAACGGTTGCAAAACTGTTGAGTCTGCTGAACGCAGCCATTTACTATACCATTTACTTTTCATCAACACGTTTGCCGCTTTATTTTACTTTGCAACTGTTGAGTTGTATGCTATAGACCTCTACCTCCTCTACGCTCATTTCCATTTACCGCCTTTTCCGCGTATCGTGCCTACATCACGTGAACCCCCCCCAGAACTTTTTCTAACTTCAAAGTATAACTTATAGAAGATTTTGTTTTCTAAAGATTTTCGCGAGGTTGATTCTGGTCTCAGAATTCAAATTAAAAAAAATAATCAGCTGATTATCTTGAAACTAGCATACCTAATACTAATAGGTTTTAAATAAATTAAATGAAATTTGAAATTTGATGTTATGTATACTTCTTGTAATAAAAAATTTCCTAAAACCGAATTTTATGACAATTATTTTTTTAAAATTCTGTCCACCATATAATGAATCCATCATTTTGAATTTATTTTTGATTTACAATTAGATTCAAATAAAATAAAGCACTATGAAATTATAGGGCCAAGTTTCATAAAAATTAAACGAGTAGTTAAAAATAAAATAAAAGGAGATGACTTCAAGCGAGGTCATTAGTCCGCAAAGAGTTAATAACTTATGTAAAATAGAAAAACATATATATTTGCAACGGGATATTATGAATTAAACTTGTATATTCCATTTTATTAAATTATGCAGCATGTGTTGTAAAATAAATTTTGAATAAACTGAGACGCATGATAATATATTTATCTTTTATATTTTATATGTTGTATGTACATACAGTCGGTTTTACAATTCGTGTAATATTTTTCAGTCTCCAATAAAAAAATGATGTAGACTTTATATATGTACCTCTTTTTTTATCAAAACATTCCTCAATAAAAGTATAAGAAATAATTTTTGTGTGATTTTTTATTTGTTATTTTTTTAGTGTATTTTTTAAAAACACATCAAAATGAATGCACTTTTTATTAGTTGTATTTGGTTCAAGGATACGTATATCATACACATGACTGATTTTATCCTTTCTTTAAAGCATCTATTTTGTATCAAAATATGTATATATTTTTAAAATAAATTTTTGTAATCTACATATTCAAAACATCCTGAAGGCACCTTATTAGTTAACTAGGTAATGATTAAATATAAAAATTTGGAAATTTAAATGTGAAAGTTTTATCAAACTGTAAATACCTTTTATTAATTAAATTTGTCATTTTTAATAATCTTTTTCTTCCAGGACACTGCTTATAATTCGCAAAATAATATTGATATATGTATCTATCGATTTCATATCATTACAATATTTAATTTTAATCGTACATATATGTGTGATATCAATTGATTATATTAAATGTACACATTCCTATGTTTTGTACATAAAAATATATTTATTGAGTTAAAAAAAAATACTAATTATAACAGATGTCGTAATATAAAAGTTAAAGAAATTAGATAAATATGTCACTAATAATTAATGTAATATTCAATTGAAATATTAATAATCTGAATCAGCGTCAGTGTCTATGTCATATACAGATTCCGATTGATTGCCATCAATTTCTTCTTCGCTTTCAGGTCGCGATTTCTCCTTTTGATCTAAAGCATATCGCCTCCAAGGAAATCTATAAAATACATAATTTATGAAACTTCATATATATTTTTTAATCTCTAATAAAAAATATATTAGATTGATATATTTACCTCTTTTTTTTATCAAAACATTCCTCAATAAAAGTATGAGAAACAATTTTCGTATGATTTTTGAATTGTTGATATTTTGGTGTATTTTTAAAAGCACAAATTAAATGAGTGCATTTTTTATTAGTTGTATTTGGATCAGGGATATATTTGGCTCCCATATCAAGAGCCTTTCTCCTAATTTCATCTCTTTGTGGATTAACGTATCCACTGAGAGAGAATGTAACGTCGTTGAACAATTCTTTAAATGATCTTTTGACTGAAACATGATTGCTTGCCTGTGAAGGAGCATTTTTAATAGGTTCTTTGGGCTCTGGCAATCGTTGACAAGTTGTACATAATCGATCCTGCGAATCTGCACAGCATTCAGAACACTTTTGTTTCTTTCTTCCATTGAATTTTGCATTTGGTGAATCATCCAACTTGATCGAAGGACGTTTCTTAGAACTTGGAGAATCCTGAGCAGTATTTTTTATATTATTCTTATTAGCATTAACGTTACACGAAGGTATAACGTCTCCAAAAGGAGTTCTCACTATTTTATCGTTTGATTCATTTTTAGTAATTTTGGGGCTTTTATTAACGATTTTATCTTTATCTTTTGAACATTGTGGTTGAGTCTTATCATTTTTTCCAAAAATTTGATCGGCTTCTCCAGCTTCTAGCTTTTCTAGTAATGGCCTCTTGATAAGTTTTTGTTCTTGTTGACACTTAACAAAATTCTCCATTGAATCTTTTTTTATTTGCTCACGTAACTCTGTCTTATAATTTGTCTTTGTATTTTCCGTTTTGTTAAGGATTTTTTCTTTCATCATTTCGATAGGTGTCTTGACAACATGTGGTTGTTTCAATTTAAACTTGCCAAATACATCTAAGCCTAAATCAATCGTAGGATCTGATCTCAGAATGATGTATGACAATCCAAACAATACTTTTAAATTGGCCGATTGCATACAAGTAACTTTGATTCGGTCAAATTTAATCTTTAAAGTGTCTGGATTTAATTCTCTTTTAGTAAATAATTGAACTTGATCCTTAAATTTGTCATTTGCAGCTTCATCGTTTGTCATAAACTGGTGGTTGATGATAACTATCCAGTTGTCAGGTTCTGATGAGGTAGATCCAGTGACAATCACCACACAACTCTGATAATTGCCAATATCGACTCCAGTGATATAAGAAGGTTCAGCGAGTTGAAAGATGACGTGTGCCAGCATTTCTCCCGGTTTGCTACATCGCCATGTGGCTTTCCAATTTTCCGAATTACGTTGAAGAAGATTGGCGGCAGGAAACTTCGGGTGTTCGGAGGAACAGCTTATTATCTTTTCAAATTTGACAATCATTTTAACAAACTCCTATAAATCTTTATCCGTGAAACGTTTTAAAATTTCCAGATTCTTTTCTGCTTACATTTTGCGAACTGCAAAAAAATTATATATGTTTGTGATTCGTTGCAAATTCAAGATTGACAAAATACTGCAAAATACCGCCAAAACTATCATAGTATTTATACTGTACATACGTGTTGACATTGACATAACCTATAATACGCGTGGTCGAGAAGACCAGCTGTTGGATAAGTTACAAGAAACGTTTACGCCATCTATTGTCAGAGAAGAACAACGGGCGGATACATCAGTATCGCAAAAGTACTAATAGCGTTTTTCATTGACAGAACTAGTTCTGCCAATGAAAAAGGCTATAAGAAGTACTAGAAGAAGTACTAAAAATGACGTCATTTACAAAACGGTCTATGAAATCCACCAATCATCCATTAAGGACTATTGTCACCAAGCTTCGATTAACTTAGGCTGTGTTCCAAAATTGACTGCCAGTTGGATTAATTAGCCCAGTTAAGTTAACACTGAGCTTGGTGACAGTGGTCCATAGGCTGTGTTCCAAATTTACTGCCAGCACAGAAAATGCTACAGTTTACGTTACGTGCACTATAGATTTTCAGTACCGGCAGTTAATTTTGGAACACAGCC